CTAGAGAAACAGCTCCCCAAACGGGTCTGAGTGCCAGGGGAGCTGGTTTCCTTGGGGAAGGAGCTCTTGTCAGGGACTCAGAGGATAAGGGTTTGAGTCTATGTGATCTTGGAGGGGTATTCCATGTTCTCAGGGCCTCAGTTTCCTCATTTGCAAAATGGAGGAGTTAGAACTGGCTCCTGGAGGGTGTTTCCCAGGACTGAAATGCACGCCCATCCTTCCCCCATCAGTGCCCTGGACTCAAAAGCAGGACTCTCAGAGCTAGACAGCAGGAGAACTGGGGCAGTCATTGCTGCCTGTGGGACCAGGAGCAGGGATTCAGGCAGCGCTTAGCCTTGATGCTAGCAATGGCCCTGCATTCCCACCCACCCTGCTCTCCGGCTTCCCCAGGGCTGCCTGTCCTCCCCTGCATCTTGGAGCAGCCCAAAGCTGAAAGGAAGCTGGTGGGAAGTTCTGCCTGTGGCCTGAAGGGTAACTTCATGCAGGCCCTTCACCTCTCTGGGCCTCAGTTTCCTCAGCTCTGACCTTCCTGTATCTAGGAAAGGTTACCTCTGGGGGGCCTCAAAGATGCAGCAGGGTTGCCATAGTGACAGGCTTCTCAGCTCCTGCTTGCAGAGGCCTCTATAGGGGTCTAGGTGCCCACCAAGCAGGGTGCTGGTGCCTCAGTGGGGCCCTTTCTCGGGAGAGAGCCTGCCGCAGCAGCCTGTGAAGGGAATGTGCTTTACCCACAGGAGCAGGCCGGGGTCGGGTTGCGAGTCTGGTTAATGCCTCTGTGCATTAGGCCTGTCGCCCGTTGACAGGATTTTTTGTTTAATTGGAGGCATAAGAAAACAATAACATCTGTCTGCATGAGGAAAGCGGCAGGAGCGCAGCGGGGAGAGCTCTTAGTGAGGAGGGAGGGTGGGGGAGTCTGTAGACTGGGCTCTGCCAGGCCGGCTGGGTAGCCCTGGGTCTCTTCCTTCTCCTCTATGGGCACCAGTCTGGCCACCTGACAATGAGCAGGTTGGACATACAGCTATCTGACTTGGGGAGCATCTGCATCAGAATTTCCCAGGGAGCTTGTCAAATGCAGATTCCCGGGACACTCCCAAAGCTGCTGACTGGGAATCTCTAGGGGAAGAAGCCTGTGAATCTGTTGCCACATCTTGCACAAGACTTGGCAAGGCTTCCATGGTGGAGTGAGAGCTGGCTCTGCCATTCTCCAGTGCTCAGCACAGGGTCTGGCTGACAGCAAATGTTAGTAGTTGAATAGGACCTGAAAGTCCTAAAGATATGTAACAGAATGCTCATGGTGCTATAATTCTGGTACCTTAATTTTTTCTTTTTTTCTTACTTAAAAAAATGTATTTATAAGTATTTAGTTTTTGCCACTTTGCTAACTTTCTTTTGAATTTTTTTCCTTTCTCCTTTTCTTCCACGTGAGTGCCCGCTTTTTCTACAGTGAACACATAGAACAGTATAATGGCCAAAAATAATTCCGGGGAAAAATAACTTGGCTCTACAATTTGGATGCTATACTTCTTAGTATATGCCCATGTAACGAGCATTTCAATTGCTGTCTTCACTGTATGGCTTTCAGATTACAAGAGTACTGTGGGCTTGCTAAACCGAACATCATAACACAAATGTGTGCACAGGCTGAGTTGTTACCCAACTCCTCACCTGAACGGTGCGCCGTTCCTCTTGCTTACACACAGAGACTGCACCCTCTGTATGGTCAATTTGACGTTTGCTGCTGCTGTTGTTTTTACTGAAATCAGATCATCTCGTATTCTATCCTGCAATTTGTTCTTTCTCTCTTGACAATGTATCATAGACATCACTAGGAAAGAGGACAAACTGTATCTCACTTCTCTTTAGACTTAATAAATAAAGTAGAACCTCTGTAAGTTGATCACCCAAGGGACAGTAACAAATTGGTCAACATACAGAGGAACTAGACCTACTGTACTGATATGTACATGTGGTGCAAGTCCGGTATATAAAGGTTAGGTTGACTTAAGGAGGTGGTCAATGTAGGAAAGTGGTCAACTATGGTTGTTCCACTGTATTTGATTTTTAAAGGGAAATAAGTGAAAATAAAAGCTACTCAGTAACTTCAGGGCTCCAGTTGGGAACTTTGAGCTGGATGCTTCTATTCTCAACCCCTTCAACACATACGCACATGCACAACGCCCACATCTGTGGAAACACGTACACACACGTACACAAACTGCCCTCTTTTCTCTCCTTGCATTTTTGGTGAATGTGAAATCTCACTCCATGAAACCAAATATCCTTGAAGAGCAAGACATTAGTCTCAGTCACCTCAGATCTTCTTGGCAGCACAGGGCACCACTCATCCTAGGAATTCAGATCCTGCTTTCTGAATAAGTGTCTAAAACCAGGAGCAGCCAAAGTAGAAATAGCCCCACAACCAGCCCATTTTTAGGCCCTGGAGACAGAATCTGCAGGTCTGGGGGAAAGGCAGCTTTTGCTTCCATACGACCCTATCATGCAAAGCCTCCAACCCAGAGTTGCAGACCGAGCCCGTGTCCTCGTTGCAAACAGATGGGTTTAGTTTGTCCCAATCAGCACTAAAAATGTGTTTTAAGTTAAAACATTTAAAAATTGGGAGTTTGATATAATAACCTAGATTACCTAGATTTTTCTTGAAAATGTGCTACATTTGGCAGTTCTGAGCCCAAATTCCTAAAAGGACCACAACTGGCTAAGTCTGAGCCCTGCCTCCCAGCTTGACCCCTCCAGTCAGTTACGTCACCTGCCCGGCCTCTGCAGGCCCTCAGGGAGTCCCTTGTGGGCCTATCTGGAGAAAAGACAAAGGCCCAAGAGAACACTAGACAGTGCCTGCCATGGGCCTCCTCTGGCCCCTTCATTGGCTGAAATATGTTCCAAGTCTAGCTCGGCACCTATGGATCAGCGGCAAGGGCACCAGTCACATACACCGGGGCTGGCGGGTTCGAATCCAGCCCGGGCCTGCCAAACAACAATGGAAATATGTTCCAAGTCACCCTATGTAACAGAAGTAACAGCATAACTGTGAATACCAGCTACATTTTATTAAGTGTTTACCTGTACTGTGCACTGGGCACAGAGCTCAGCAATTCACTTTCAGGACCTCTTTTAATCCTCCCAACAATCCTATCTAGGCATTATTGTCTCCATTAAACTGGTGAAGAAAGTGAGGCTTAAAGACCTTAAGTCACTTGCCCAGTTGATGCCATTGGCAAGTGGTGAACCCTGTATTCCAACCACATTCCAAAGCCCAAGTACTAAGCCCACCAGGCCCCACCGCCTTGGGGAGCAATGGCGGCTGCTCCTCTGCGTGTTAACCTCAGGTAGAGGGGCCTGGAGAGCTGTCTTCCACAGCGGCTTGCTCTTCCCACTTGATCATAGCACATCCAGTGGTTAAAAGCCCAGCTTTGATCTTAGACCTGAGCTCAGAGTAATACTATATTTACTAGTTGTGTTGCCTGAGCAAGTGACTAAACTTCTCTGGGTCTCAGTCACCTTTTATTATTGGGAAGGATAATAACACTTGCCTTTTAGGACAATTGGAGGATTGTAACATTACATTTAAATGTACTGCTTTATGGTGGCAGACATCAGACACAGAGTCTGGCCAAAATGTCAGCAAAAAGGTATATTGTTAGAGAGTAGGATGTATAATACTCAGAGAATTCCAAGAAAAAATAAAGAACCCAGGATGCTCCAGGAATCACGATGGCAGGAATCATGGACAACCTGGTCCGGGAGCCATCTCCAGAAAGGCAAGGTTTCAGCCTCTTTTTCTTCCTACCTTTGATTCTGTGCCCTGGGAGGTCACATTCCCATCTCAGTTATGTCAGTACCCCTGGGAGCAGAGCATGAGACAAGGATTCTTGTGCATTTATCTGTTGGGAGAAGAGGAGGCAGGGGAGCAGGACTGAGCCGGGAAGAAGCTGGGGAAAGGTGGGGTTTCAGGAGGAGTTCCTGAGGGAACCTGAATTGAGTTTGTCCCACTTGGAGGCAAGGGAGCCGGGTTTATCCCATGTTATATTTAGTCACGGGCCCCCGGCTCCTACCTGCAGTGTAATGTCTAGTAGTTCTGGGTAAATCCCCTTAGGCAATTCTCTAGAGAGAAAGACAGCCCTGAGCCACCAGCATCCAACACTAAAGTGAAGAAGGAGGGTCTGGCTGGGCACCAAGAGCATCTGTCACATTGCCTCTTGCTGAACATCCCAGACAGCCCACACAGGAGGATCAAGAGTTAATCATCTAAAAAGAAATCAGAGGCCCAGCACAGTGGCTCATGCCTATTGGAACCAGGTGGATTGCTTGAACTCAAGAGTTTGAGACCAGCCTGAGCAAGAATGAGACCCTGTCTCTAAAAATATAGCTGGGTGTTGTGGCGGGCACCTATAGTCCCAGCTACTCAGAGGCTGAGGCAAGAGGATCGGTTGAGCCTGAGAGTTTGAGGTTGCTGTGAGCTATGACACCATGGCACTCTACTGAGGGTGACAGAGTAAGCCTCTCTCTCAAAAGAAAGAAGGAAGAAAGGAAAAAAGGAAGGAAGAGAGGGAGGGAGGGAGGGTGGGAGACAGAGGGAGGGAGGGAAGGAAGGAAGTAAAGAAGGAAGGAAGGAAGGAGAAATGAGGGTACTGTTTGTAGAAGCAGGAGAAATGGATACAAAGAACTGAAAACCAATGAAATATTCTCTGCAAGTGGTTAGCCCCGAGCCTCCCCTGTGTATAGTAAACACAGAGTCAATGGTGGCTTTCATTATAGGTGCAAAAAGATATTAAGATAGAAAGCTAGGTGCCAGGTGTAAGGGTGTCAAAGTGAGACTCCGTCTCAAAAAAAAAAAAAAAGAATAGGTGGCACATTTCAGAGTAAGTTATAAGACCATGATGATGCAATATTACAAAGTAGACAAAAACTGGTTGCTTTCAACCCTAACCCATATTGTAGTTGGGATTTATTTATTTATTTATTTATTTATTTATTTATTTTAACAAAGCCTGCCTCAGGTTTATTTGTACAAATAGCACAGGAGGTCCCAAGCCCCATACAGACAGCAGCCTAGAGGTCACACCAGTCCTTTTGTCCTCATGGCAGACAGATGCCTCTACTCTGGAGCCTTCGTGGGGGCCTGGACACCTTTGGGAGCCTGAGCTGGAACTGAAGCTGGAGCTGCAGATGAAGCAGCAGATTGGGCCTTCGTTTGATCCTTGGCCTTGGCCTTTGGCCGGCAGAGCCTGAGACCCTTGGCAATGCGTGCACGAGCATGCTTCCCAAGCCTGGGGTGGGCTATGTAGGCAAGTCAACTGAGTTTATGGCTGGCACCCTTTGGAATCTTGGTCTTAACCTCCTTGGGCTTTACAAGGGCCTTGATAGCTTCAGCACGTGCACTCACAGCCTTGGCATTGTTGGCCTGCATCTTCTTCAGGCCCTTCTTGTTGTGTTTCTTGGCAAAGCGCATGTTCCTCAGGAACTTGGGATCTACCCCCTTAAGAGATTCATATCTTTGTGATCGGGGTTTCTTGATGCCATTTCTGTGCCACTTTCGGGACTGGTTGTGTGTGGTGTGGTTCTTGGACTTGGCCATGTCTGCACTGTGACCCGCCACTGCCGAAGCACCTACGACCTATAGTTCAGTTTTAAATGGTCAGAAGTAGTTGGGGATGAGGGGGAAATATCTGAAGAGGGCTGTTGGTGTGCTGAGTCTCACCTCTCCTCAAAAAACGAGTACCCCTTTCATCTCAAGAATTCTGCTATGGGCCGGGTGCAGTGGCTCACGCCTGTAATCCTGGCACTCTGGGAGGCCAATGCATGTGGATTGCTTGAGCTCAAGAGTTCAAGACCCCATCTCTACTGAAAAATAGAAAAACTAGCTGGGTGTTATGTCAGGCATCTGTAGTCTCAGCTACTCAGGAGACTGAGGCAAGAGGATTGCTTGCTCAAGCCCAGGAGTTTGAGGTTGTTGTGAGCCATGATGCCATGGTACTCTACCAAGGGCAATAAAGTAAGATTCTGTCTCAACCCCCCCCCCCCAAATCTGCTATGGTTTGAATGTCTGTGTCCCTCCAAAATTCAGATGGTGGAACTTAACCCCCAAGGTGATGGACTTAAATGAGGTGGGCCCTTTAGGAGGTTATTAGAATGGGATTAGAGTCTCATAAAGTGGCTGGAGGGCCTAGGTGGTCCAATTTTGCCCTTCTGCCTTCTGCTATGTGAGGACATAATATTTGTCCCCTCTGGAGGAAGCAGCAATAGAACTGTGAGAAATACATTTCTGGTTCACAGCACCAGAACTGTGAGAAATACATTTCTGTTCTTTATAAATTACCCACTCTCAAGTATTTGGTTATAGCAGCAGGAAACAGACTAAGGCAAGCTCAAAGGGCACTAAGGGCACTGAGACTCAGAGAGACAAGATGAATTGCCTCTGGCAGGAATCCAACCACAGTAGCAATATTTTCTGGTGACAATGTGATATTCTGTTAAAAAAAAGGGGGGGGGGGAAGCTTTTAAGCTTATAGTCCCAGCTAGTTGGAAGACTGAAGCAGGAGGATTGCTTCAGGCCAAGAGTTTGAGTTCAGCCTGGACAACATAGCATGACCCCCATCTCTGAAAATCTCTTAAAATGAGCATCTTGTTGGTACTGTTAGAAATCTGCTCTAAGTAATATGCATGCAAAGATGTATTAATATGATGTATTATTAATAATAATTTAATAAAATTTTCTAATACTAGGAGGATTAGTTAAGTGAATTCTGATATAACTACTTGAAGAATACTATACTTTTGGCTCGGCACCTGTGGCTCAAGTGGCTAAGGCACCAGCCACATACACTTGAGCTGGTAGGTTCGAATCCAGCCCGAGCCTGCCAAACAACAATGACAGCTGCAACCAAAAAATAGCCGGGCATTGTGGTGGGTGCCTGTAGTCCCAGCTACTTGGGAGGCAGAGGCAGGAGACATGCTTGAGGCCAGCAGTTGGAGGTTGCTGTGAGCTGTGATGCCATGGCACTCTACCCAGGGTGACAGCTTGAGGCTCTGTCTCAAAGAAAAAAGGAATACTATACTTTAAAACAAATCACGTCAGGCCAAGTGCAGAGGCTCACGCCTGTAATTCTAGCACTCTGGGAGGCCCAGGTGGATGGATTGCCTGAGCTCATGAGTTTGACCAGCCTGAGTTAGAGAGAGACCCTAATCTTTTAAAATAGCCAGGCATTGTGGACAGAGCCTTTAGCCCCAGCTACTTGGAAGGGAGGCTGAGGCAAGAGGATCACTCGAGCCCAGGAGTCTGAGGCTGCTGTGAGCTATCTGCCATGGCACTCTACTGGAGGCGACAAAGTGAGACTCTGTCTCAAAAACAAAAACAAAAACAGATCATATCATAGTTGAGAAGGATTTTTGTTTTTGTTTTTGTTTATAGATAGGTCTTGCTCCATTGCTCAGGAGCGAGCAATGGCAAGATCCTAGCTAACTGCAGACTCCAACTCTTGGGCTCAAGCCTCCCAAGTATCTGGGACTACAGGCAGATGTCACCATGCCTGGCCTAGTTCAGGCTCATTAAAAAAAATTTTTTTAATAGAGACATGGTCTCCCTGTGTTGCCTAGGCTGTTCTCAACCTCCTGGCCTCAAGTGATTCTCCCATCACAGTTCCCCATAATGCTGAGAATATAGATGTGAGCCACTATACCTGGCTAGTTCAGGAGTTTTTAAACCTGGGACACATAGGTGGGTTTTAGGAAACTACTTCCTAAAATTGTGGCTGTGACATGGGATTGAGGGTTTTTCAGGTGAATGGATTTATTGCTTAAGATTTTCAAAGGGATCTGTCACCAACCAAAATAGGCTAAAAAATATTATTGACAAGAACTGTGAAAAAACTTTTATTTAAAAAGGTCGGTGGGGCTCGGCGCCTGTCGCTCAAGCGGCTAAGGCGCCAGTCACATACACCTAAGGTGGTGGGTTCAAATCCCCAGCCCGGGCCCGCCAAACAACAATGATGGCTGCAACCAAAAAATGGCCAGGCATTGTGGCGGGCACCTGTAGTCCCAGCTACTTGGGAGGCTGAGGCAGGAGACTCGCTTGAGCCCAGGAGTTGGAGGTTGCTGTGAGCCTGATGCCATGGCACTCTACCCAGGGGGATAGCTTGAGGCTCCGTCTCAAAACAAATAAAATAAAATAAAATAAAAATAAAAAGGTCGGTGGGGGCGGCACCCATAGCTTGGTGGGTAGGGCACCAGCCACGTACACTGAGGCTGGTGGGTTCAAACCCAGCCAGGCCAGCTAAAATAACAATGGCAACAACAACAAAAAGAATAGCCAGGCGTTCTGGCAGGCACCTGTAGTTCCAGCTACTTGGGAGGCTGAGGCAAGAGAATTGCTTAAGCCCAAGAGTTGGAGGTTGCTGTCAGTGGTGACACCATGGCACTCTACCCAGTGTGACAGCTTGAGACTCTGTCTCAAAAATAAATAAATAAATAAATAAAAAGGTAGGGGGAAGGGTATCAATAATTACCAAGTAGGGCCAACCTTGTCTCTACTCCACCTAATTCCTCTTCCCATACTAATTGGAAGGGAACCCCAGAAATCATTTTACTTAGAAACACCTCAGAATATATCTTCAAAAGGACTCTTTTTAAAGCATAGGCACAATGTCATTATCACATCAAAAAGAAAAAGAAACCCTAACAGTTATCCACAATTATCATCAAATATCCAGGCAACGTAAATAATATTCATCGACATACCTCTTCCTAGAAAAAAAGGTCTCAACTCATTTGCTAAGTGAGAAGAGGGAAGGAGAATAGACATTGACCTTGACATTGACCCCGTTTGGGCAGCATACTTGTCATTCTGGTCACATAGTTCTTTGGGATTAGTAGGATTCATATATATATGAAAAAATATTTTAAAAATCAAAATCTTCTGATTCAGCATCCAAGTTTCAAGAGTTTATCCTGTTCCATCCTGAGACAGAAAAACTCTCAGCCATTGGAGCATTAGGGGTCTTAGGCACAATTACCCAGGGGGAGGAGACTGTGATGGGGTAGAGGAGAATCCGCCTTTCTTCCCAGACTCTTGGGAGGAAGAGGTTCTGGGACAGCTCTCAAGGTCTGGTCCCTGATGTCCTGCCACCTCCACCTCTTACCTTCCCACCTTTATCAAGCTTCACACATTTGGGGCACTTTGTTGCTGGAGTTGACAGACCAAACGAAACAGAGGCGGGTGGCAGATAACCAGAGCCCTTTCTTGCCACACATAGTCCTGTTGGCCTGTCGGGCCTGGAAAAGAAGGCATCTTGTTTCCCCAACACATTCCAGAGTCATGTCCCCCAGGCTGCCTGGCCTCTGGGCCAGCTCCCCCCCTCCCAGCCCCCATCCCTATCCCAGCACTTTCATAGTTGAGACAGAAGGGGAATAAAAGTCCTCACATTATTATGCTCTTCTTTCCAACGTCCCCATTTTGCTGTGTGACCTTGGGCAGGTCCCCCCCTTCTCTGGGCTTGTGTTTCTGCACCTGTCTAGTGAAACAGCTGGGCTAGATCATTTCTGAGCCACTCATTTCCCTCCCCAACCCAACTCTGATTTCTTTCAGAGTTCCTAAATTTATCAGAAATGGAAAGCAGATCCACCACACTTCTGAATGTCAGCCCAGAATCTCATGGCTGCCTCAGGCCACAGGGTGAAGGCCAGTTCAATTTTTTTCATGTGGAGCACAAGAGATAGATTTTTTTTTTTTTTTTTTTTGCAGTTTCTGGCCAGGGCTGGGTTTGAATCTGCCACCTCCGGTATATGGGGCTGGTGCTTTACTCCTTTGAGCTACAGGCGCCACCCCAAGAAATAGATATTTTACTTCAAGACCCAGTTCTCTCTCTCTCTCTCAAAAGAAGTTTCATGTGCAGCCCAGCACTGTGCCCCCTCCCCCCCGTAATCTCAACACATTAGGAGGCTGAGGTGGGAGGATCATTTGAGGTCAGGAGTTTGAGACCCCATCTCTATTCTACATCTAAAATCAAAATAAAAGTTTCATGCAATAACATACCCTTTCTTCCTGAGATGCATTCTGATACACTCTATTCTTTTAAAAACATTTTCAGACTGCAATTCATTTTCTGTGCAATTTCACAATCCATAAAACAGCCATCACTTGCACTTTGGTAAACACTGATTCATGCAGCTGTGTCCCTGTTCTTGAGCAAGATGGTATCAACCTAGACAAACAAATAATGGTAGACACACACACACATACGTATACACACACTGCAAATAGATTCTATATGAACTGCATTGGCTTCGCAAACTATAATACGAATACAGCTCACTTGGTGTATATGACAGAGTCTCACACTGTTGCCCTTGGTAGAGTGCTGTGGTGTCGTAGCTCATAATAGCAACCTGAAAAACTCTTGAGCTCAAGTGATCTTCTTGCCTCAGCCTCCCAAGTAGCTGGGATGTGCCGCCACATCTGACTAGTTCTTTTTTTTTTGTTTTCTATTTTCAATAGAGATGGGGTCTAATTCTTGCTCAGGCTGTTCTCGAGCTCATGAGCTCAACCAATCCCCCACCACAGCCTCCCAGAGCTAGGATTATAGGCATGAGCCACTGCTTTGGCCACTCA